AAAAAAATAGAAAGAAATTAGCTGGACAACTGAAAATATATAGAAAACATTAGCCGGGCATGGTGGTGCATGCCTGTAGTCCCAGTTACTCCAGACACTGAGGCAGAAGGATCACTTGAGCCCAGGAGTTTGAGGTTGCAGTGAGCTATGATGACACCACTGCAGTCTAGCCCAGCCAACAGAGTGGGACTCTGCCTCAAAAAACAAAAATAAACATTATGCAAATTATTTCCTGTGATCACAATGGGCTCATCCAAGAGATGCTTTGTATAAACTTAGCCTTATTAATAAACAACAGAAGGAAAACTTGAAAATTCAAATTTTTGGAAACTAAGCATTAGGTTATACAATAAATGTATCAAACAACAGTCAAAATTAGGAAATTTTTAGAGATAAATCACAATGAGTTCTGCCACTGCTTCCTCCATCATTTCACAGCACAGCATCCTGGACTTGCTGCAGATAAATTTTCCAAAGAATGGGGTGAGGGTGGATTCCTAAAGATATTTCTCAGTAAAAAGGCAGAAAGTGAGATTAAGAGGGAAAAGTTAACATGTAGAAATGGCCACAAGGACTAATCCAGGAAAGACATGACGCTGATGCCCGAGGATTAGGATGCTTCCCAGGAGATCCCACTTGGACAAAACCATTGAGGAATGTCTTTATATCTCAGAAGTGCAAAAATCCCAAAGATCTTACTTGAAACACCTGGTGTAAACTCAAAGACAAATTGTGGCAAACCCCTCACTTCTATTCAACTGTTTGTGATATGTAGGCAGGTGTGGCCACAAAGAATGATTCCTATCATCACAAAGGGTTTCAAGACATCACAAAGGGCTGTTGGAGCCCTACGTCCTTTTTCTTGTAACACTTCCCAAGAAGAATCTCATGGTACCATTAATAGAAAGAAACATGGCACACCTAAAAATCAAGGCTCAAGAGAGTTTTAACATTCTCTTCTTGCACATGAAAGCATTTTTGTTTTTTTTCTATTATGTTCAATATACACATGTACGATTTTAAGTGTAGCTGTGAATTTTCACTGGTGTGTAGTTATGCCACCATCCAGATGCAGAACTCTCGATCATGTGAAGTCTCCTGTGATTTCCATTTGCACACAACTTCTCCATCCTTAGCCACTGATCTGGCTTATTATGAGGTATGTGAGTTTGGGTAAGGCCCTGTGCTTTCTTGCACTTAACTTTCTTCCTTTGTTAGATGGAAGGAATGATACGGGCAAGAGGAGAAAAAAAATAAAATAAAATAAAATCATGAAATTGCATAATCTGAACAGTTTGAAGAAAAAATAAGGTAGACCTGAAAAAAATAGGACAAAGACTGGATTGCCTTTATTCTTTAATAAAACACAAAATGGTTACACTTCTCCTTCCCCTTCCATAATGTGTGCTGACGTCTAAGATATGAAAATGATACCTGTGAATAGTAAACTTTGGAATGTTGTGGATCATTGAAGCACAATGCATTCAGCTACTCTTCTTATATTAAGACATTAAACATTTCTCCCTGTGAGGACCTCAAATATACTTCCATTTCCACTAAATTAGGATATTGCTCAAAATGATAAGCTCTGTCAATTATTACCTTCGTAATTGACTTGCACACATCTGTAGATCTTTTTAGTGTTTCAACCAGGCAATTACCGTAGACTTGCATAGATATCACTCTACTCATAGGAAAAACTCATAATGGACTAGTACTTAACTCCAGATTTTATTGTCCATTTGAAGGTTTCTCATACTCAATGTTTCAAATAATGGCAAACAATAATGACTGAGTAAAGAATAAAAGATGAAAATAATACTTCCCATGAGACTGTACTCTGTGGTAAACCCTATACATTTAAAAAGTGATGCCAACTATTATCAAGGAAAATGAAATAGACAACGTTGTTCTTTCCCCCAAAAGTAGCATTTCCGATAGGAAAGAAAGGTGGAACATATATAGGGCATATGATATCTAAAACCTGTCACATGACACCAGTAGGAAAACCCCCACAATTAACAGACTCATTTTTCAATGATGATGAATCACCTCGGCTGGGCGCGGTGGCTCACGCCTGTAATCTAGCACTCTGGGAGGCCAAGGCAGGCAGATTGCTCAAGGTCAGGAGTTTGAAACCAGCCTGAGCAAGACAAGACCGTCCTACTACATAGGAGATAGAAAGAATTAAATTGGCCAACTTACATATACGAAGAGAACATGAAGCCGGCATGGTGGCACAGCTGTAGTCGCCGCTACTTGGGAGGCTGAGGCAGGAGGATGGCCTTTGAGCCCAGGAGTTTGAGGTGTGCAGTGAGTTAGGTTGACGCGCATGGGCACTCACTCTAGCCTGGGCAACAAAGTGAGACTCTGTCTCAAAAAAAAAAAAAAAATCACAGAACTATTGAAAAACCACATAAAAATGAAACCTACCTACATATTTAGAAGACATTTTGATTACCCCATGGAAACAACACACTTCAAAATGGAAGGAGAGAAATTCTACTGATTTAGGGAAAAAAATTGTCTATTAAACAAACACACTTGCTTAAATAGTACTTACAGAATTATGTTCCCTCAAGGTTACTTTTCCAGGGTAAGAACTAGAAATTCTTAGCCCAGAGATCCACTTTAAGCATGAGCTACTGATAAAGGCAATATATTTATAACTTTTATATTTTCTTCACTTTGTGTATATTCTGCAACATTTTACATAAACTACTTTGCATCAAGCTCTTCAACTTACTTACATTTATAAGATTTCTCTACAAAGGGGGTTTTCAAGACTTTCAAAGTATTTGTTGTCCAAGCACAGCGGCTCATGCCTGTAATCCTAGCACTCTGGGACTGCCAAGGAAGGATTACTTGAGGTCAGGAGTTCGAGACCAGCCCAAGAGCGAGACCTTGTCTCTACCAAAAATAGAAAAAATTATCCAGGCATGGTGGTGCACACCTGCAGTTCCAGATACTTGGGAGGCTGAGGCAGGAGGATCACTTGAGCCCAGGTGTTGGGGGCTGATTCTGGTGTTATGCCTTATACTAATCATTCACTACAGCCTGTAATGTACGTGTGCTGCCTGACGCAGCAGTAGTCAGCATTTCCTTCAGACACGGTTGCTGCTTTGTGACTTGATAAGAGGCCTGAGTTGTTGCACATAAGCAAATGCTCCCAACTCCCACACAGAGGTCCCCCGTGGTTGGAGTCTGGAGGCCATGAGAACAAGAATAAAGAGAACTCTCCCAAGAACTGGCCCCCGATTGATGGTTGGTAGTCAATGACGGGTAAGACTCCCCAGGGAGGGGGGCGACCTAAAACAGGCACAACCATGGGGGCCAGGAAGGAGCCACTGCCTGGGACTGAGACCAAGAAGCACTTCAAATGGCTGCATTGTTTTATGTTGCCTATCTCGGTTGGGCTTTTGAGCTCTGAGACCATGGGAAATTGTTCCCTTTTGAAACAACTCCGGAATTGGCTGATATCGCTGCTATGCTCAGATGCTCACGTACAAGGAACTGGGTCTGGGTGGTATAAAAATAAAGCGACCGGTACATTGGCCACTTGAGTCATTGTCATGTCCATGTGTGTCTGTGTTGTTATTTTATGTTCTGTGTCATCCCCCGTCCTGTAATCGGGCCACGACACCCAGGAATTTGAAGTTGTGCTGAGCTATGATGGCACCACTGCACTCTCACTGGGGCGACAGAACAAGACTGTGTCTCAAAAAAAAAAAAAAAGTATGTGTTAAAACTGAGCAATTTCTTGTATTTTTCACATTTATAGCTTTATATCCAGTTTGCATTCATACGTGCGGAACAATTGAAGACTTCTGCATATGGCTTATATTCAAGAGGGTTTGTGTTCCTTGTTGACAATCAGTGGAACCAGAATTATCAAAGGATTCCTCACACTCTTTACAATTACAGTTCTCTGCACCATGCATTCCCATGTGTGCTAGAAGACTGTGTGATAGGAAAAAAGCTTTTCCACATTCTTTTTTTTTTTTGAAACAGGGTCTTACTCTGTCACCTGAGTAGCTGGGACTATAGGTGTGCGCCATGAAGCCTGGCTCTTTTTATTTTAGTAGAGACAGGGTCTCACTCTTGCTGGTCTCAAACTCCTGAGCTCAAGCGATCTTCCTGCCTTGGCCTCCCAGACTGGATGAGCCACCATGCCCAGATGCTCCCAGTTTTTTGTTTGTTTGTAGACAGAATCTTGCTCTGTTGCCGGGGCTACAGTGCCAAGGCATCAGCCTAGCTCACAGCAGCCTCAAACTCCTGGGCTCAAGCAATCCTACTGCCTCAGCCTTCCAAGTAGCTGGGACTACAGGAATGTGCCACCATGCCCAGCTAATTTTGCTTCTATATGTTTCAGTTGTCGTTAATTTCTATTTTTTTAGTAGAGACGGGGTCTCACTCTTGCTCAGGCTGGTCTCGAACTCCTGAGCTCAACCGATCCACCCACCTCAGCCTCCGCCCGAGTGCTGGAGTTACAGGTGTGAGCTACCGAGTCCAGCTCACCCAGTTCTTTATTTAGGATTTCTCTCCAATGAGTTATTTCATGCTTTGGAGGAGAATAAATGAGGTTTTCCCACACTCCTTACATTATATGATCTTCAACAGTATGATTTCTTCCATGTATTTAAAAATAACAGGAGGAAAGGTTTTTACATTTATAGGATTTTTCTGCATGTCAGTCTTTTTCCAAGTTTTAGAAAGTACCTGATGCATATGAATGCCTTCCAAATTCCTAACGACCATAGAGTTTCTACCCAGTAAGAGTTCTTCTATGTATTCCGCAGTAACTACAAAAGCCTAAAGCCTTTACTGTAGTTTTTACACTCATAGGGTCTTTCTCCATTGTATTTCCTGAGTTTAAAAGAACTGGGGGCCAGGTGTGGTGGCTCATGCCTATAATCCTAGCACTCTGGGAGGCCAAGCTGGGAGGATTGAACTCAGGAGATTGAGACCAGTCTGAGCAAGAGACAGACCCTGTTTCTACTAAATAAATAAATAAATTAGGTTAAAAGAAAAAATAAAATAGATAAAGGGAACTTGGAAAATGGAATGCTTTCCCACTGTCCTTAGGTTCATACAATTTCTCTCCAGTGTGAGTTCTTTTATATATTCCAGTGTACTTGGGCTACGTGAAGGCATTACCACGTTATTTACATGACTCCAGCTTTTCTCCAGTATGCTTTCTTTTATGTATTCGAAAGGAACCGGAACGACGGAAGGTTTTACCACATTGCTTGCATTCATAGGCTTTCTCTCCTGTGTGAATTCTTTCATGTCTATGAAATGAACTGGGAAAAGCAAAGGCCTTCCCACATACCTTACACTTATAAGCTCCATTTCCAGTGTGCATTATCACGTGTCTTCGAAGGCTTGTGGCACAAATAAATGTTTTTCCACATTCCTTGCATTCATAGGGTTTCTTTCCAGTGTGAGTCATTTCATGATTTCTAACAGAACTGCGAGATCTAAAGGCTTTCTCACATTTTGTACATTTATAGGGTCTCTCTCCAGTGTGGATTTGTTCATGTTTTCGAAAGGTACTGGAACAACTGAAGGCCTTCCCACATTGCTTACACTGATAGGGCTTCTCTCCAGTGTGTATTCTTTCATGTATTCGAACTTCACTGGGGTAATCAAAGGCTTTCCCACACACCTTACATTTGTAACGTCCCTCTCCAGTGTGCATTATCATGTGTCTTCGCAAACTTGTAAGAGAGAATGCTTTCCCACACTGCTTACATTCATACAGATTCTCTCTATTGTGAGTCTTTTCATGGCTTTGAACAGGATAAATAAAGGCTTTACCACATATTTTACATTTATAGGGTTTCTCTCCAGTGTGAATTCTTTTATGTATTTCAATGTAATAGGAATATTTGAAGGCTTTACCACATTGCTTGCATTCATAGGGTTTCTCCCCAGTGTGACTTCTTTCATGAATACGTAACAAACTGGGATAAGCAAAGCCTTTCCTACAAACCTTACATTTATGAGGTCCATCTCCAGTGTGTGTTACCATGTGTGTTCGAAGAGTTTTGGGAGAAGTAAAGGTTTTCCCACATTCCTTACAATCATAGGGTTTCTGTCTAGCATGTGTGTGAGGACTTTGATGTGTTGGGAAAGAGTGGTGATCACCGAAGGCTTTCTCACATCGGCTATGTGTATATGGCTTCTCTGTGAATTCCTGATACTCATTTGGTTCATGGTCAGCATGATCTCTCATGTGAAATGAATGACCCATGACGACCTCTCCACACACACTGCTTTCACATGCTTTTACTGCAGGAGTTTTCTTGTGCAGAACATGTTTTGGAATTTGGCTCAAGGTTTCTCCACCTTGACGCTCTGCTTTACTTTCACGGAGTCTCTCTGCCATATAATGTCTGTAAAAAATGTGAAACACATTATTGAGTATTTATTTATAAAGGACTATACATGTGTTAATAGGTTTTAAACTTAAATTTTTAACAGTATCAGGGAAAGTGTAGGCTTTGTGCCCTGTCTCGAGTTGTTTGCTATGAAAGGACTGAACGCTATTATCAAAACAGTGGTGTTTCATATGGGATTTCTTTTTTTATTTTATTTTTATAAATTTAAAAATGTTATTTTTCTTTTTTCCACACTCAAGTCATCTCTGATGTATATGTGATTTCTTAATACTGTTTCCAAGGGAACCATTTTGCCAAAAATAAACATCTATATCACTTTTATGTGTATATTTTGATGACAACTTTCTAAGAACAAATAAATTTGAAGCTGGGCTTTACTTGTTTTGTTTGCTTGATTTTGACACTTTCTGATATTCTAAGATTCTCTCTCAAGGAAATCGCCTTCTCTCCTGAGTGCAAATTACCTTAGATTTCTCCTTGGATTTCTGTATCGATCTTCAATGTCCTGGTCTTCCCATTTTATTCCTAAATGTAAACCCAGAAAAATTACAAAATTATAGAGAATTATTAGATTTTCTGTTTGTGGCACACTTCAGCCATGCTTTATTTATTCACTAAAGCATTCTCCTTCCATATTGCCAATCATGAACAGTGTTGATGAGCAAGAAACACTTGTTTTCTAAATCAATGAAGTGAAGGAATAATACCCTTACCTACAAAGGACAGGTTCCTCAAGGTTTCCCGCATCACATCTTTGTACAGATTCTTCTGGGAAGGATTCAATAAAGCCCATTCCCCTTGAGTGAAGTTCACAGCCACATCCTCAAAGGTCACCGACTCCTGAAATATCCCACATGTACAGAGGAGGCTGGGTAAAACTGGACAGCCCTGATGTATACTCAATTCATAAGAGGTTCATATGATGCCATGGTCCCGAAACATTTATTCTATGACTTGGTTATCAGACTCTAGTTCTCTTGTCTATACTCACCTCCTCCCCCACATAGCAATTCTGATGCTAAAATTGAATAATTTAGTAAAGTAAGAAATGAACAAGAACATTCCTCTTCAGGAATGCCTGGGACATGCCTAATGTCTCTCTGTACAGTGGGTCTGTAACACTAGTCATTATAAAGTCATACTACAGGTCGTTTGGAGAGAGAGAGATAACATTAGCCGCTCCGAGCGTGCCTTATCCTGTTACCAAATGCTCTCTCTCTCGCTTTTCAAAAGTTTGACTTTTTCTCTCTTCGAGCTCCGTGACCTTGAGTGACCCACCACCTCAGTCCAGCGAGCTGACCTAGATTACAGGCGCTCCAAGTTTGACTTTTTTTTTTTGTTTTTTGCATGACAGAGGTCTCACTTGTTGTCCAGGCTAGAGCTGAGTGCCCGGTCCACCGCGCTCCACTCCTGGGCTTCAATGCCGATCCCTCCTTGCTTCAGACCTCCCCGACGCTAGCTGGCGGCTAAGGCATGACGCAACCTGCCGGCTAATTTTTTGTTTGTTTATTATTTCAGGTTGGCCGAATTAGATTTCTTTCCATACTTGGAGTACGCGAGAGACGGGGTTCGCTCTTGGTCAGCGCTGTTTTTCGCTCCTGACCTTTGAGCTAATCCGCCGCCTCGGGGCCGCCATGAGCTAGGCTTACAGGCGTGAGCGCCACACGCGGCCCCGCCCCAAGTTTGACTTTTGATGGTATCTGTGGAACTGGAGCGTTTTAGAGGGACCACATCAGCTTACTTTTTTTTTTTTTTTTTGAGACAGACGTCTCGCGTTTTGTTGCCCGGGGTAGAGTGAGTGCCAGGTGTCAGCGTAAGCTCCACAGGGCAACCTCAAATTCCTCGCGCCTCGCTCCTTTCTGGCCTCGGTGGGAATCATGCCCGCGCACCGCTATGCCCTGGCTTGTCGTGTCTACGTACTATATATGTGGTGGGTTTGGCCATTTAATTTCGCTTTTCCGATGTGTATAGTAGAGATGGTCCTACCTCCCATTGCTCAGGCTGGGTTCTGACACGCTCCTGACTCCTCGCGCTCCACGTCCGCGCTCCGCGCTCAGCCCAAAACACAACCCCTCCCATTACCGTTTTAAGAAGGCTTAGTGTGCCCAAACTGTTGTGAAAACAATATAGTATTTGTGTAACTCTTGTCTTCCCTCTGAGAGTTTGGAATTTTCTTCTTTTGTTGTTTTTCTTGAGACAGGGCCTTGCTCTGTCTCCTGGGCTAGAGTGCAGTGGTGTCATCCTAGCTCACTGCAACCTCAAACTCCTTGGCTCAAGCAATCTTCCTGCCTCAACTTGCCAAGTAGCTGGGACTATAAGCCTGTGCTACCACACCTTGGCTAATTTTTTTGTGTGTATTTTTTTGTAGAGACAGGATCTTGCTACATTGCTCAGGCTGGTCTTGAATTCCTGGCCTCAAGTGATCCTCCCACCTGAGCCTACCAAAATGCTAGGATTACAGGTGTGAGCCACCACACTTGGCTGAGTTAGAATTTTGTTGGCAGACGGTGTAACAAAAAACCACTCTGGGCATGGAGTGTCTAATGAGCTTCCCTGGTATATTATATAATATTTCACAGGTTTTTCACAACTTTTTCTTGGGGAATTAAGTCCATCATATGTAATTAGACTAAGAGAGAACATTTGGAAGCTGGAACCTGGTTTCCTATAGGCCAAATTTAATTAAGTGTGACAAAAGGCTACTGAAATATCTCAACATCCTAGTGGAGAAATTTTAAGCATTGTATTGGATAGTGACAATGCAAAAGGACATGGGGAAAAGATGGCACATGTTATTGTAAGGAACTCAATGTCACCAAGCTGATACCTCTCACATATATTTATAGAGTTCCTTGAATCCCACAGATATTTAAGTAGTCAACAAAAACTACTTCACCAAACCTAATAGAAGTATCAATGTCTAACAACAGTAAAAATCTTCTGAACAAGGAAATGACAACTTGCATAATACAAATAAAAGGTTGTAAAACTATAATATTCAGGACACCATACTATTAACAGACAGATAAACAAATAGACCAAGGGAAAGGAAAAGAGTCTTCAATAAGTCACCATATATATGAAAAGCTGATTACTGGCAGAGCAAGGTTTGTGGAATACTGGCAGAATTCATAAGCACCTTAATACATGAGGCAAGGACAAACTGATATCTAACTGGATAAGTGCACTGTATTTCCCTCTATTCCATGGACAATAATCAATTTACTGTGCAGGTAAATATGAAAGATAAAATTAGAATGCTTTGCAAAGTCCCAGGCAAATGTCTTTTTGATGCAAGAACAGAATTTTCTCATATAAAGAAAAGGAAAATGTTTGCTTCAGCAGCATGTACACTGAAATTGGAATGATATAGAGATTAGCATGGCCTCTGTGCAAGGATGACATGCAAATTCATGAAGCATTCCATATTTTTCTAGAATATATAAAAGCTGTAACAATTCAATAGGAAAAACCAAATAATCTGAATAAAAAATGGGCAAAGGGTCTGAATAGACATTTCTCAAAAGAAGGCATGCAAATGGCCAACAAAAAAATGCTCAATGTCTTTAGTTATCAGAGAAATGCCAATCAAAACTACAATGAGAAAAAAAATAAACTACAATGAAATATCATCTCACCCCAGTTAAAATTGCTCTTTATCAAAAAGACAATAACAAATACTAGCAAGGATATGGAGACAGGGGAACCCTTATACACTGTTGCTGGGAATGTAAATTAGTGCAACCACTATGGAGAACAGTATAGAGGTTCCTCAAAAAACTAAAACTAGAACTACTGTATGACCCAGCAATCCCACTGTTGGCATATAGCCAAGGGAGGGGAATTCAGTATATTGAAAAAATATCTGTACTCTGCATGTACTCAGGAGGCTAAAGCAGGAGGATCACCTGAGCCCAGAAGTTGGAGGCTGCAGTAAGCTATGATGCCATCATTGTACTTTAGTCTGGGTGACAAACTGAGATCCTGTCTTTAAACAAAAGAAAAAAGAAGCAAAATAAAGAGTTCATTTAAAAAAATAACTAAGAAAGAAAGAAAAAGCCATAAAGATGTGAACAGAAATATTTAGATACATGAAAATTAAAGAAGGTAAAATACAAAGGAGAAATATATCTGCAATACATGTCAATATAAAAGGATTAGTGTGCAGCACAAAAGTGAATAAACACACTATTAATCTATGGAAAAATAACTAAAACATATTTAAGAGAAGATAAAAGACCATATATGACAAATGGACCATCTCCTGGGTAATAAGGAAAGGGCCACATAAAATGTCAAGCAGATCCATTTCACCATAGTGATCAGAAGGACAAAATTAGCCAATCAGATAATGCCAAGTGTTGATGACAACATCAAACAAATAAATAGTTATGCATGAATGAAGGAAGGATCAGTTGCTATTTCTAGTAAATTAAAGAGTGAAAAGTGCACCTGAAAAAGCTCAAACACCATAACCAATAGAATGGATGACTAAATTGGATGTCCAAAAGCCTCAGACACTTGAGTGTGTGAAACAGTGGTGCAGAGGAACCACAGATAAACCTTTTTACTATAATAATACCTTTTACTATACTATAATAGTATACTATTATAGTATAGTATTTACTATACTAGTATATTATAGTATAGTATTTACTATACTAGTATATTATAGTATAGTATTTACTATACTATAATAGTATACTATTATAGTATAGTATTTACTATACTAGTATATTATAGTATAGTATTTACTATACTATAATACTATAATAATAACCTTTTTACTATAATAAATACTTACTTATACAAAGTTTAAAAGAGGCAAAATGAAAAGAACACTGCTTGGTGAAAAACAACAAATGTTAAAGATTTTTTTTTTTTTTTGAGACAGAGTCTCACTCCGTTGCCCGAGCTAGAGTGCCATGGTGTCAGCCTAGCTCACAGCAACCTCCAACTCCTGGGCTGAAGCAATCCTCCTGCCTCAGCCTCCCGAGTAGCTGGGACTACAGGCATGTGCCACCATGCCCGGCTAATTTTTTTTTTGTATATATATTTTAGTTGGTCAATTTATTAATTAATTTCTATTAATTTCTTTCTATTTTTAGTAGAGCCGGGGTCTCGCTCAGGCTGGTTTCAAACTCCTGACCTTGAGCAATCCGCCTGCCTTGGCCTCCCAGAGTGCTAGGATTACAGGGATGAGCCACCGTGCCCAGCCAAGATTTTTTTTTTTAAATAACCAAAGAATCAGGAGAGTGGTCACCTGCAGGGCAAAGCAGAGATGAGTCATACAGAGAACTCTTAGGAGACCCTATGACTACCCAAAGCCCAAGTATGAATCTTGATAAGGATTCCCATGATATTTATATTGTTATTATGATGAAGTCTTACCACATCCCTTTTATTCATTTCTTTGTGAATATATTTCATGATAAAAATGTAAAGAAATAAATTTTTAAAAGGACACAATTTGTACATGTTTGTCTGCTATAGAATGTAGAACTCTAGCTTTAATTCAGAGATTTGACATCATAAAACACACGCAAAACAGCACAACTCACAGCATGAGCTCCCCAGCAACAGCAGGCCATAGAGCATGACAGCCATGAGGCAGCAGAGCTGGTAAGTGAGTCAGAACAAAATAAGACAGACATGAGGAGGTGGGCAATGTCCACACATCGGCCAATGGGGCCTATTTTTAGGGTCACCACTGAGGTGTGGTTCTGATATTGAGAGTGATGGTTATATGGTACACTGTGGAAAAAACCCGCTCAATGTGTTCTTTCTAGTCTGTCACTCAAAACCAACAATCAACACAGAAGACTTCTATGGCCATATAT